AACCTTTTAAAAATCCTTACTTAAAATCTTTTATACGATATACCGGCCGGCCGCCGGCTTATTTAAAAAATAAAACCAGACGTTATAAATTATCTTACCATTAATTAATTTAACCTTTAATTAATAAATCTTATTAATATTAAGAGCTATATACTTAGCGCTATTAATTTATTACCCGAGTTCCCTCGATACCTCGGAGTTACCGGCCGATAATTACTTTCGGGCTTTAGTCTAGGAGGCGGGAATACGGGATATACGGTACCTACTAAGGCTTAGGGATTAACCGATTAACGTTCCGGAATTCTTCGGTAAAAGGTAGCCGGCGGAATGATTCGTTAGGCTACTTATTTATTAGCTTTACCGGCGGCGGTATCGACTTAGTTCGTTAATACGTTACGGTCTTCTTCTTATCGTTCTTAGCCTTTCTAGACGCCCCGGCGATTTCCTCGTCGGTAATTCCCGTAGTCTTAAGCTACTTAAGTAGCTTAAGGACGGACGCCCGGTCTAGTTTCAAGAGTTCCTTTTAGAAGGTAGGATCTATGGTATATATATATATATAAAAAAAAAGAAAGAAACGACGAAATTATAAATCTAGAATTAAAAAAAATCGAAAAACGAATTAAAACGAAGATAGAGGACCTAAGGAAAGGAAAGGAGGAAATAAATCGGAACTATAGAATAGCGAAAAATAAGAAGGGAGGTCGGACGAAAACGAAAGAATCGAATACGTTACCTAAGTCGTAAGTACCGTACTTAGGAGAGTCTCGATAGTACCTACCTTAACCTACGTTTAATTACGAGTCTACGAACGTACATAATTATTACTTTACTAAGAGTATATAATAAAAAGCTATAAACTAACGTATTTCTTATTATAGCTTTATACGTATATAAGGAAACGCGCTTTCTTAAAACGTTAGCCGTAAAGGTATATCTAATTATATCGTTAATACGTTCCCCTTCCTCCCTCTCTTTTTCCTCTTTAAGTATTTTATTCCGAAAACCCCCTCCCTATTATTATTATATTCTTATGAATCTCTAGCCTCCCTTTCTTATTATTAATTTAAATTTTAAATTTTACCTTTAACTTATTCTTTTTTTTCCTCCTTTTTTTAATTCTTTTTTTAATTTTTACGATATCTTTCCCCCGCTCCGCTGGCATTCCTCCTTCCTTCTCCCCCCCTTCCGTTTATAAAGACGTACGTCGCGCTGATTTAACCGACTTAATAAAACTCCTACGGGAGATTTATAGTAATAAAGATAATTAAAGTAATATAAAGAAGTATTAACTTAGTACTTTTGATAATTACGATTTAAAGAAAGGCCCGATCGAATTAAGATCCGATATAACCTAAGCCTTCCGGCTATCCGTTAATCGGCCCCGAACTATAGGTTAATAATAATAAGAATAAACGAAAGTAATCCTAGCTAACTTTCTCGTATATCTCGCTTATTACGACTATTTTACTAACGAAGATATTCGCGCCCTTTATATCATAATAAGTTACGACTTCGAAGATAGAAAGGCGGCCTTCGAAGTAAACCCGTATTAAACGATAAGTTATCGATCGGTAGAATCGTTTAACTTCTTAACCCGTTAGTACTTTTTCGATAACCCTACCTTTACTTTAGTTTTTACGATCTATACGGATTTAATAAACCCCGAACGAACTATTACCGACCCCGAGAGGTTCTCCTAAGCCTACTTCGCCGTAGTATTATACCTTCCTAAGCCCTAGAAACTATTTAGCTTTAATATAATTAAGAACGACGCCTTTAATCGGGCGGCGTATACGTTCGGTTAATTACGGTAAGCCTAGGAAAACGGTAATCTCGAGCTTACGATAACCCTTTAGTTTATTTATTACGTCGCGTTAATAAACTAATAAGATAGCTATAGTTACGGTTTTTAAAGTAGCATTTTACCGTATTTTATCTTTAAATAACCGATCGAAGTTACGCGTTAAGCTTAAGAAAATAAAGGGCTTAATTCCCTTAATATAATAAGGAAATACGCCGAGGTAATAAAGTAATTTTATAGCGTTCGGGTTTTAAAGGAGGAAGTTAATATCGTTAAGCGTTTCCGGTAAGCCGTAAATTACTAAAAGCGAATCGACCTTATTAACGCTATAGCCTCGGCTTAAAGTACGTCGATCGGCGAGCCTCCTAGCCGTAAATCCTCCGTCCGGTTTATCGCGTAAGCCGAAGTTTACCGTTCCTCTATAGCCTTAGTACCTAATCCTCCTTACTTCTTCGTAGTAACGGATATAAACCTCCGCTACGATAACCTCATTAAGGTTACGATACGCTTCCTCTCTTCCCCCGGCCTAATAAGAATTAAAGCTTTCTAATCCGGGGAGACCTTTATACCGTATAGGTAGAAGGAAAATACCTAACTAACCTTCGGAACGCGCCCGCTTCCTTATTATCTTCTTAATTAAGAGGAATAAGCCGAGATTAAAAAGAAGGTAGCCGAAGTAAAGAAGGAATACGCCGATTAGGTTAGATCGGTAAGGATAAATTAAGCTAAGTTAACCGTAAAATAATAAAAGGGCTCCTTTATTATATTAAACGATAAGCTAAAGACCTACCTTTAATACTTAAATAATAACTAGTAGAATAAAGTTTCACGATAGTTTTTAAAGGGAAATATTAATCGAGATATACCGTATTATCCTTTTTAATTTCATTATTCCTTACGGTATAATTAAACTAAGGAGGCTATAGTAATACGATAAGATATATCCTCTTAATATATTACGTAATACGTTACGATAAGCTTTATACTTATATAAAGTAATTATAACTTCCGTAAATACGGGCTATGCTATATTTATTATCGAGTTTATTACTTAGTTAAATTATTATCTTTATTATTTTTACTTTAATTAAAGATTCGTTTTTATTATTAAATTCGTCGTTCTCTAATTAATATTTTTTTTTAATTATAAGCGCTTAAGTTACTTCGTCGTACCGTTATAGCCGAATAAGTAACTTTTACGTTTTATTCCTTTTCTTCCCTTACCTTTTATGCCTTCGGGCTAGCGACTACTACATCTCTACGACCAAGAGGTATAGCTAAGATATAATAACTACATTAGATTCTCTATTTCTCGATTAATATAGCGGTATTAGTTTCATTTATCTTAGACTATCGTACGAGCTATAATCTTCGATAGAATGTACTTTTGAGTGAACCTATCCGGGTCTCTAGCATCGCGTACGCTCTGTACCTCCTTAGTATTCGTACTTATTATGTTAACGAGATCGAAGACGTTATAAGAATAAAAGATTTTCTCGAAATAGTTATGGTAAAAATCGCCGTCGATTAGGCTACTCGGGTATTAATCGCTCTTACGAAAGCCGATAAACTCGGCGAATAATTAAAGACCTTTAAGTAATTAGATATTATATTTAATACTTTCGTTATTAAAAATAAATAGAAAGGTAAATTTAGTTATATAATTTTCTTAACGGCTTATTAAGGCCCGACTTTAGAAGCGAAATTAAATAATAATAACGGCCAAGGTAATATAACGAACTACGAATATCCTTATAAATCTAGAGGTAAATTATACCCGTAGTTAACTCGTATTTATAGAATCCTTTAAAAGGCCGTTACTGGTTAAATTACTCGCTACTTAAAAAGTTTCCTAAATAAAATTATAAAAGAAATTAAGATTAGATACGAATTGCTTAAATACGTTACTTCCGAAATTAAATTAACCGTTAAAGGTAGGACGCTTCTGTAAATAATATACCGAATAATCGCTCTAGAAACGGGAGAAGAAATAACGCTACTGCTATTATTTAATTAGTTAATATTAGTGTAATTATTATCGACCTACGCTTTATATACCTATTTATTCGAATTAGGATCTATTTTATAATAGATTTAATCCGTTACTTACTGTCAGAAAATACTGTCTTTAATAATTATAGCGTTATTTATCTTATTAATAATCGTAACCTATTAATAAAAAGGTCGTTCGTTCCCGCTAAAGACGGATAGATAATCGAAGTTAATACTACGAGCTTCCTTATTATTAATACGAGTCGTAAGATTATTAAGAAGTATATCCTACGTACCGTAGCGTTGATTGTAGTAATATCTTATTTCCCGAAAAGAAACGTCTGGTAGAAAAGATTAAGAAATACTACTAAACCGAGAGAAGATTCCGAGGTACTTTAATACTAGAAAGTAAGATATCTTAACCTCAAGGCGCTTAAAGCCTTCGTTAAAAACGCCTGAAATATTAAAATTAACGGTATAATTAAATTAAGAAAGCTATAATGATATAATAGAATATATCTTTTTAATATGTTACGTAATACGTTACGATAAGTTTTATATTTATATAAAATAACCATAGCTCCTATAAATACAGATTATATTATACTTATTATTTAATCTATTACTTAATTAGATTATTAACTTTATTATTTTTACCTTAATTAAAGATTCGTTTTTATTATTAGATTCGTTATTTTCTAATCTGTATATTTATTTTAGTTATAAGCGTTTAAATCGCTTTATCGTACCGCTATAACCGAATAAGTAACTTTTACGTTTAACTCCTTTTCTCTCCTTACCTTTTATACCTTCGGGTTAGTGATTACTATATTTCTATAACCGAAAGATATACCTAAGATACGATAACTATATTAGATTCCTTATCTCTAGGTTAATAAAGTAATATTAATTTTATTTATCCTAGACCATTGTACTTACTATAGTTACCGATAGAATATACTTTCAAGTAAGCTATCCAGGACTCTAGCATCGCGTATACTCTGCTCCTTCTTAATAGGCATATCCTATAATAGTTATTATTTAATTAATAGTTGACTATTAACCCTTTTTCGTAGTTTAATTAAACGTTAATTCTTACTTACTCCCTTTCTTCTAGCCTTTCTTCGGAGAGGTTTTAGGTTTTTAGTACGAAAACCTAAAAAAGCGTAGAGTGCTTAGACGTATTTTAAATTATTTTGTAATTCGTAGCATTCTTAGTATTATATAACCGTTTCTGCTTCCGTCTAAACTTACTACTCCTCTGCGGATGAATCGATGTCTCGCTATATCGCTAATAATAGATCGCTAGGAGTCACCAGTTATGATTCTGTAATTACCTAGCTAAACACCCCAGCCAGCCGGCAAGGGAGCAGCTAGCTGGCAGATGGTAACGACATGCTTTCCGGCTGTAACTTTAGAATATCTAGGTATACGACAATTCCAAAGCCGATCGATTGCGGCGATGCTGCATTACTCTTTCTTCGGATAGCCCCTATATTCGTGTAGTAGTTATTCAATGATCTCACCAAAAACCAAGTAGGTTACTAGTACACTGGTGCTAGAAAGCAGTGCTGAGAGCGGAATTTGACTTGTCTCGACTAAATAGACTCCGTAAAGCTGTCAAGCGCTGCTGAAACTTCAGCGCTCTGAACGAATGCCCCGTCGCCATCACCAATCGCCTTCTCGTCTACCGGTGCGAAGTGATGGGCATACTCAGGACCCCTTTCAGGCCCGTTTATTGCATGGATACTGGAATCTTCGTCGTTGTCTGCGTGGAAATCCACCACCGGCTCTGCATATATACTCATGCTCCTGTCGAGGTTAGGGCTTGAGTTTCCTGGTGACATTGACCGGTGCGAAAACACACCAGAGAGGATGCGCTGGTTGGCGTGGGGCTCGTTTGCGTCGGCGTTTGGGTTCTCCCTGCCTAGGTTGTGGGGCAATGGCCGGGACGTCTCGCGGACCTGAATGTGGTTGGCATCTAGCGTAGTCCCGTTCGGATACCCCCGATTAACCCTGGCATCCTCACGCAACTCCATCTCGTGGGCAGACAGGAGAACGTCTGTAGCTGGTGCTGGTGCTGAGTGTGGCTGGTTTAATAACGAGTGAGCAAGAGAAGCAGAAGGCCGGGACAAGTTGCCGTCATTAGAACTGAGAAGTTTGTTAGTTAATACCCCTCTTGTCGTATGTTCGTTGGCTTCGTTTGATACGCCCCGGTTTTCTTGATCTCGCTGAACCGTAGTGCTCGATATACTCTTGGGCGTATTGGTTCTGCTCCTCTCGTCCCGAATATCGATAAAGCAGGGTTCGCCACTGGGTGTCGGCGTGTTAACTAGTACCTTGGGGTCGTGGATGCTGGTGCTCGCGTCACCGGTATTAGTCCCAGGAAACCCCACGAGCTGAGCATCAGATACATCATTGGGGGTCCTTAAGGAGCTAAAACCAAAGCCGGGCATACTGGCGCCGGCCCGCCGCGTCTTGCTCGTCCCGGCAGCCCTATGGTTTGAGGAAAAGTCGTATTCGTCCCTACCGGTCTTGGTCACTCGGCCATAACCTCCCGTCCCGGAACCGCCCGTGAAATCGAACCAAGCAGAGCTGTCTACTTTTTGCGTACCTAAAGTGCCTGCGGACCCGGCGCTGACTCTGCCGTGGCGGGGAATTTCCGCGGTACTAGGCGTGGGTGGGAGCACACTACTGACCTCGACCCCTTTCCCGCCAGGGCAGCTAGAGACATACCCGGACTGACGCAGCATGCCTCTAGCCTGGCTCACGCGATGCCGCCGGGAGTGTAGGTGCGCCTCATACCCATCTTTATGATGCTGCGATGGGACGGGTATCATAGGGTTGGGTGGGCCACGGCGCCACATTTTGGGATTCGGCCAAGCAATACCGGCACTTTCGAGGAGGTCTACGAGGCATACTTGTTAGTAGGGTATATGTGCGAAGACGGAGGCGGTTATTTACCAAGCGGCGCATGCTGGAAGGAAAACGCAACGACGTTCTTAACCCGCTCGACAGGGATAGACAAAGATTCTGTCGAGATCCCCTCGCTGATGACGATCTTGATTCGGCCGATCTCATCGGCGGGATTCCAGAAGCTCTGCTGGAGTATTTCGCTGCGAAATGGAGGAAACCTGAGGTACTCCAAATCACCAGCTTTGGTAAATTCTAATCGACGTCAACTTTCAAAGGTCCGTTTACGTGACCGACACTGCTCACCAAAGCTGCGGCTGATCAACTGGGGCCAGGGGCCAGCGGGGTCAAGCAGGGACGACCTAGGACATATTCTTATTGGAACTGGCCTGAATACGACATGACAGACTGGTGACTCACGCGGCTATACAACCATCGACCAAGACCCGTGCCTCAAACTTGACCAATCCGGGCCGTCTGCTGTGGTTTCTGGTGAACCTACTGACGTCTGGCGTCTTCCAGCAATGAAGAGAGATGTTGAATGGCGTGCCGGAGGGGAGCCCTGGTATGAAGCACGTCATGGTTGGCAAGCCGAGCGACCCATGTAAGAGCGCAAATTCTGCCAGAGCCCGGATTAGCTTCGCGGCAACAGTCCCCAGGCCCGGGTGGAGTGTGGCGAGAGAGAAGCCAACCCACCAGCGTCGTGGACTACATGGCAACTAGTCTTGAACTCCTTGAACGGGATCTTGGAGTCGCTGGGGAAGAGAAGCACGTCCCAATCCTCAAACCGCATCCTTTGTGAGGCTGATCGCGACGTGGGATCTGAACGGCCAGAGTAGGTGGTGAGCTCGGGAGGGGGGTTGGCGACCTGTAAGATGTGACCTGCAAACTGCAATGCCTGGGGGTGCGAGCGGTGCTAGTTGCAAGATCTACCCAACCCAACGAAGAGACGGATTCCTATCTCGAGGCTAGGCAGAGAATGGCACGAAAGCCCGAGCCGACGGCCCCAGAATGTGACGACTGCCTAGGCAAGTCGCCTACGACGCCAGAAGGCCCCTCCCCATGTGGTTGCCCTGCCCCTAGGATCGAAGGCAGGGGCGTAAATGAGGCAGATATCACTGCGTTTCGAGGCGCCTCCCTCCATTTTGCGGCTGCTACACGTATTGCACTCGTACAGGCTAGCGAGGGGGTGCGTAGGAAATATGTAGGTAAGGTAAGTCAGGCGGGCGCACATGCCCCAGGTACGATCTGGGGGAAGCGCTGCGGCCGCTCAGTCAGGAGGCACCTAAGGTATAGGTACCCGATAGGGAGGTAGGTATCAGAGCCATATAAACACCTACTGGGAGTAGGAGCACCATCTTGGGCCCTCCACGATAAGCTGTCTGTCTGCCTGCCCACCCGCCTGCTAGGTACATATCGTGTAGGGAGTTGGTGTACCTCCGGAACGACCTCTGCCAGGTACAACAGGTAGTCATCACTCCCCGTCTGTAAAAGCGTCCGACCGTGCGAAGCAAGACGGTTATTGAGAATACTTACGCTGCCTTCCCATTCCTAAGTAGTCCCTAGCCAGGTAGGTAAGCGGGCTTGCTGCTGTTGCGGTCGAACGCGCGGTTACTTGGGCAACTTTTCTATGGTGGGCATCGGATATGGCAGAGCCCAGTGCTATGCGTCGAGAGGCAGGATCCCGTGTGCACAGTTAGGTTTGCAAGCTGCCGGCCGTATGACGATGGTTGGGCTACCCGGGCGAGGCATATTAGTCGATGGCGCTTGGTGGCCCTTCGCCTTGTAGAATTTGGGATGCTGTCTCTTTTTATTTTTATTTTTATTTTTTAGATTACGTCTGGAGCTAAGCGCCGTCTCAGCCTATGTACGGGGTCCTATCTCGTTATTCCTCCTCGGCGTCTTTGGACTGCTATGGCTCTGGATCGCCGGGTGCCCTAGCCTGCAAGCTTGGTCAATATCGAGGCAGAATCGTGTTGGTCCGCTGTCAACTTACCCGTACAGCGCTAGAGCCGCCCAATTCGCGCTCTAAACCGCCCTCGAATTCTCGAGGATATGATGGTATGTCTAGATACAATCTTCCAACCACCCAGCATACCCCCAAGAAAGTCGCGACAAATGCTCCAATTTGGAGCAAGCCCTTGCCGGGAGAGACCCAGGTATACTCGTGCGCGGAGAACATGCCGAGGCAATCATGATCCTCGTGGACAGGCTCGCCGTAGTTTCGTCGGTCTTGCTTGTCCCACCAGTCCCCATACGGATCGCGAAATTGCCGTTTTATGTACGGAGGGTTGATGTAGCCGCCGTTCTACGCACACGTCAATTCCTGATGTGCTTGTCGAGAGGAGGAGAGGGGGTGGGGGGAAGCAGTAACTGACCATTTCTGGATCTTCGGCATCGGTTGGGACTTTCCTATCTGGGAACTTCTCGTCGAATATGGCCCGGCTGTCGAAGGACGGTGGAAGGAATGTGCGTTGCTGGACCACGGCGAGTCTTCGTGCGGCCCGCGAGGCTGATCGAAGGGCCGAAGCCCTCGCAACTCGATACGGATGCATCTGAGGGATGGAATTAGCTACGTTTAAGTAACCTGGGGGGTTGCGCAATCAGTTGGGAGGCTAGCGCAATGTCTTCTGGCAACAAATACCGGAATTCTTAAGGGTCGGGTCTCCCCTATATATTGATCGATCCGGGACCCGTTCTGAGGAGGGAAGTTAGAGGCGACGATGTGGATTTGAGACACTCCTCCCCATCTACGTACCCCCGTCGTATTGAGAGCTCTTAAAACCACTGTCATCCATTCACTTTATATAGGAGGTACCTAGTAACTACAATAAGGGTACTGGTTTCATAGCACTTTTTTAGTAGGACTAGATGTATCTTCTTCTCTTATATAATACCTACCTATTTACTTACTTTTGCTATTTTTTTACTTAAATATATACTTTTTAAAAATATTATATGATAAGAATTATAATTTTTTAACTTTATTAAATTTTACTACTATAATATTTTATTTAATAAATTTTAATGAATTTTTATTATTACTTTATCATGTTAATAATATATATTATACCTTAAGTATTTAAGCTAAGTCTTTTAAGAGAGAGACCTTTTAACCTTTAGTATCTACCAATGTACTCCTGCTAACTTCGGATACGTAGATACCTGTGTACCTTCACCTGAGGTGGAGGTACCTTTCCGTACGTGTGCGGGACCTTTGCTGTGCCAGGTACCGTACCTAAGGTAGCGGGATGTAGGTGAGGTAGTATCCTCTTCCCAAGGCGAGGCGGAGACCCGACCAAAATTTCGGATCATCATCCAACTGCTGATGAAGGGTCATTCTGGCACAATTTCCATCACAACTGTTGCCCTAGCAGGCTGTGCACATCCAGGCCTTGATATGATATTCCCCTGTTAATTCTCTATCTGCAGACATACTTTTTTACCCCACAAATGCCGATTCCGTTGAAACCTGCGTCCTCCTCCTCTCCCAACTCCCCTGGACAGCTATGACGGCCACCGCGTCGCCCGAGTCTGCGCCTTCACACGACACTCCAAACCCTAACAGCCCAACGGCAACAACTGACAAATCCCGGTTACCTCTAGTTACCGATGTCCTCTCCATTCCCCTGAGCGGCACATCTAGCCTACAAGAGAGACCGGAGACACCTACCGAAACCCAATCGACCCCCCCGAATCCTTGGTCAGATAGCTACGATGCCAACAGGTCTATGGACACCTCTATTAGGGACGGAGATGCCGACGGGAGGCCTACTAAGCGACGCCGGGTCCGTGATATAACACCTCATAACGCCCCTCGTCGGCCTAAGCCTGAGTCGCCTCCATGGAAGAAGATAGAGCCTGATGGACCTACAACGTTTCATGAAAATGGCAAGCGCAGGTCTGGCCGGACCAACGCTGTCCCCTTGGAGCTGCAACCGCAGGGCCACAAGAGGATGACTAGAGGTGCTCTTCATAGCCTTCAGCCACCCAGCCCCCCCAAGGACAAGCGCATAGTTGCTAATAGCCATGTGAATGGGACGCAAAGGCAGGCATCCGCAGGCAAGGGAACACCATCTAAAGCTCCGATACCGAGTGCCAAGCTGAATACAAGAAAATCTCTGGGTAGTAACTCAAGACCTTCCCTGAGGACCAGGAGGCAATCTCCCACCCCCCTGGCTCAGACAACACCCCCGAGACGGTCCGCGCGAACACAACGCAGCTCCAGAGCCACCCAGGATGGCCTTGATGTTTCCCCTCTCGAACCCACCCAACCTGCCGATGAAAACCCCGACCTGCGCCCAACCAAGATACGGTTACGGCTGAGGGCCCCCGCCATCCCTACCGTTCACCCAGCCCAGGCCAACGTATTTCCTGGGCAGTCCATCGCACGTCCTAAGATAGCGTCTGATTTTCGCCACTTTGTTAGACGTGCTCCGTCAGTAGATGTCAAGGATGGTGGTTGGTTTGACCTTGCAGATGAAGGAGACCCGTATACCGAAGAAGCAGCTCAGAAGGATGCCGTCACTATCATGCGAATTGCAGCTGAAGCTGAACCAGGCGGGCTACTCAGTGAAGGGCGGTCCACACTCTATGCGCCGGAACCTGCTGAAGAGCCTCCACGGCAGTGGGCGCACAGGGATCACCTCGTCAAGCAGATGGCTTATTTTCGAAAGCTCATGCTCATAGAGCAACAACGGCACAGGGTTACGGCAAAGCGACTGGCTGAAGCGTGTCGGGACGAATGGATACGTCGTCAGCCCAAGACAGCAGAGCAAATTGAGACCGAGGCTCGAGCTGCATGGGCCAGTCGATACAAGACCGTTGTCAAAGCCATGGGTGGGATTTGGGACAATGTGAAGACCGAAATCAACCGTCGCCGTCTCGAAGAATGGGAGGCCGCTGAGCAAAAACGAGTCAAGGCTGCACTAAACGAGGCCGTGAATATGTCGGAACTCAAGCTACAGGCCCGCCGAGCACACTTCGATTCGGAACCCATGTCTGACGAGGATGACGGTGGGGCTGCTAGATTGGATGAGGAGGTTGATGAGGAGGAGGATGATCTGGCTTCCGACGGAGAGTCTAATTTGGGCGGGGAAACTGACAAAGATGAGGACGAAGACAACATGTCTTCTTCCGGCGACGAAGACGACTTGAGGTCTACCATCTCCGATGAGGGCCTAACGCAGGACCAGCTGAGAGAAAAATATGCCAACATTCCCGACCTGCCCGTTGAAGATTCTAATGCCGGCACCGTTAGCGATCATGATCAAAAAATGATGCTAGTCGGTGACCAAGATGAAACGTCGGATGAGTCGATCGACATGGACGATGACTTGGGGTCGAGCGATGAGGAGACCGGCACTGTTGAAGATGGTGGCACCTCCGACATTGAAGAGGCCTCTGCGGACGACGAGGAACCTTCTGAACTCCTAAGCCTCTTTTTCGGCAAATCTGAACTGCAGGAGATGAGGCGGGAGGCTGTTGCTAGCAGGCCGCACGTGCCCCAACAGGACGCACCGATGGAGGATGCCCCAGGCACGGCACCGTCTCAGGAAGCGATTTGCGCCGACAAGTCGAACCGCAGCGGGAGCTCGAGGTGTACGGATGCATCAGACGAAGCATTCTATCGAGAAAAGCCTCTATCATTACTACGAAAGAGGCAAATAAGTCCTGAAAATGCCTCGATCGCCCAGCTCGACCAGGACAAAACATCGGGCGACGTCCCCGAGACTTTTTTTGCCATGGCTGCTGGACCATCGAAAAGCCCGCGTGAAGCCAACAATCCGGGTGCTCCTTTCATGATACCAGAACCGCGCCAGGCCCAGGTCGTCGAAACAGACGCAATCGATGTTGTCGAACGAGATAAGGGGAATGTCCGGGAAAATGCGCCAACCGAAGCAGTTGAGCAGACCGTTTCGAAAAGGTCTGGTGTCGATGTCACCGCTGCGCTGTCAGATCAACAGCCATTAGCCACCCCAGATACGGATGCGATCTCGAACCCGCCTAGTCGTTATCGGAGCCAATCCCCACGGACGTCTGATACGAAGCCTTCAGAAATCGACACAGCTTCTGTCATCAAATCCGGTGGAAGTAGATCCACCTCGCCCCAGTACCAGGCGCCAAGGACGGATGTGCCGTTCCTGTTGCGAGGGACGCTCCGTGAGTATCAACATGACGGTTTGGATTGGTTGGCTGGGCTGTACAGCAACCAGACCAACGGCATTCTCGCGGATGAGATGGGCCTCGGAAAGACCATCCAGACGATCGCCTTGTTGGCCCACCTTGCCTGTCACCATGAGGTCTGGGGCCCACATCTGGTGATCGTCCCGACCAGTGTGATGCTGAATTGGGAAATGGAGTTCAAGAAGTGGTGCCCTGGGTTCAAGGTCTTATCGTATTACGGCAGCATTGACGAGCGCAAACGAAAACGCCAGGGGTGGAAGACAGATGATATATGGAATGTCTGCATCACGTCGTATCAGATCGTCTTGCAAGACCAGCAGGTCTTCAAGCGCCGACAGTGGCATTACATGATCCTAGACGAGGCCCATAACATCAAGAACTTCAAGTCTAAACGCTGGCAGACATTACTCACGTTCAATACGCAAGCGCGGCTCTTGCTTACCGGCACGCCTCTGCAGAACAACCTCACAGAGCTGTGGTCGCTCCTGTTCTTTTTGATGCCGTCCGAGAACGGGGTCGGCGGCTTTGCGGATCTTACAGAATTTCAAGACTGGTTTCACAAGCCCGAATCGCAGATCTTGGAGAGCGGCCGCGAGCAGATGGACGACGAGGCTCGTGCCATCATCGCGAAGCTGCACAAGGTGCTTCGGCCCTATCTCCTGCGGCGACTGAAGGCGGAGGTAGAGAAGCAGATGCCGGCCAAGTACGAGCACGTCGAGTTCTGTCGCCTGTCGCGGAGGCAGCGCGAGCTGTACGACGGATTCCTGGCCCGAACGGACACTAGGGAGGCACTCTCTTCCGGGAATTACATCTCGGTCATCAATTGTCTCATGCAGCTACGCAAGGTGTGCAACCATCCCGACCTCTTTGTGGAGCGTCCCATTATGACATCCTTTCGGCAGCGCAGATCGGTTCTGGCAGACTACGAGGCGACAGAGAATCTCGTCCGGGAGAGGTTGTTGGCCGAGAAACCCATGAGGACCGTAAACATGAGCTTTCTCAACCTGGTGCCGACTCAGCACGAGGATTTATCGAAGACGATCTGCGAGAGGATCTCTCAGCTTAGCTCTCACCGCGCACTCGTAGATCTCCGGGAGGCGCAGAGGGCGCGCGCTCAAGCCGCCTGCGCCGATCACGACCCCACGACGATTGAATCCAATCTAGCGCGCTTAGAGAATGTGTCGCGATGGGGTCGCTTTGAGGAGTTGCAGCACTGCGTTTACCTGAACGCGCTCCGGCGGCAACAGCGTCCGGTATATGGGAAGCAGCTCAGGGACCTCTTAACCCTCGGCATAGACGAGCGGCCGTGCAAACCCCGCCCAAGGATCCCGCAAAAGATCATGGGTTGGCTAGAAGAGGAGTCCCCGGTGCTGCGATCAATGGTGCTTACGCTCGACCAGCGCGCTGCGTCGATGAGGACCACCATCTCTAAGTTTGCCTGTGTTACGCCGGCCGTGGTGACTCGAGATCTCGACCGATTCGTTCTGGGTTCTAAAGGCGTCGAGGTTTTCAACGACGTGAACCTCCGGTTGGTAGCTCCCGTACGACGCGGACCGTTTGTGCAGGAAGAGGCCCGGCCCGACCCGTGGCACGAAGCAAGGATGAGACTCAGCATCCAGTTCCCCGATAAGCGGCTTCTCCAGTACGATTGCGGAAAGCTCCAGGCTCTCGACCGACTGTTGCGCAAGCTACAGTCCGGCGGCCATCGCGCCCTGATCTTCACACAAATGACGAAGGTGCTCGACATTCTCGAACAGTTCCTTAATATCCACGGACACAAGTATTTGCGTCTCGACGGCGCCACGAAAGTGGAGCAGCGGCAGATCTTGACAGACCGCTTCAATCACGACAGTCGGATACTCTGCTTCATCCTATCTACGCGCTCCGGCGGCCTCGGTATTAATTTGACGGGTGCTGACACCGTCATCTTCTACGATCAGGATTGGAATCCCGCCATGGATAAGCAATGTCAAGATCGTTGTCATCGCATCGGTCAGACCAGAGACGTCCATATCTACAGGCTAGTAAGCGAGCATACCATTGAAGCGAACATCCTGCGCAAGGCGAGCCAGAAGCAGATGTTGGACGACATCGTGATCCAGGAGGGCGGCTTCACTACCGACTACTTCAACAAGCTCTCTGTGCGGGACGTCATTGGCAGCACGCCAGACGAATCTGACGTCGTTGGGGACGCGATGGATCGCGTCCTCGGCGGTGTGGAGAGCAGCGATCAGCGTACCGTCGGTCGGGTGCTAGAGCAGGCTGAGGACCGGGAAGACGTCGACGCCGCCCACATCGCGGAGAGGGAAATACAGGAAGACGAGGCCGACTTCGCGGAAAAGCCAGCAACAGCGAGTGCGTCGGGAGCTTCGAGCGCTAGGCAAGGCACCCCTGCAACGCGAGACGGTTCCATGGCGCTGGGTGCGGAGTCATACCCGAGGCCGGCCAGCGCGGACGGCGCACCGGGGGAGGCGGAGAGCAACGCTTGGGGCGAAGAAATGCATACTATTGATGATTACATGCTCGCTGCGATGGGTAGGCAGCTCGAAGGGACCGCACTCGAGCTTCCCCGGGACAAAAAGAAGAAGAGCAGGAGCAAGAAAGGCAAGGATACGCGGAAGCGTTGAAACAGGTTGCTGGGGCTTTTGAAGGGACGGGCGGTGTGGTTTGGTTGGCCCACCTAGCTGTACATTACGAGACGGATGTATCGGGGGGCGGGCAAGGTTGGCGTTGGCGAGAGATGTGAAGGCGGTAGCAAAAGGGCGGGCGATGGGCAGACGGACGGCGTGCATTGCATATATCGGCATCCCTGGGCCTACGGACGGAAGAGCCGAGGCGAAGGGGAAGGGGGAAGGGCGTTGTACGAACAGGATATTTTTGCATGGGCTCGGCACGGCGTGCAAGTGGGAGTACGAGGGGCTGCGACGAAACCCAACCAAGGAACAAAAGGGGGTAGAATAGAAGAAGTCTTGGAATGCGTGTCGGCCACATTCGGTATGTACTAGAAGACAATTGAACGAGAGACGAGGCGGCAGCCCGCCGGGGCTTCGCCACTCCTACCAACCAGCATGAACAAGGCACACGGCACCGACCTCGAGGCTAGCAGCCTCGTCGGCGGGAGGCCTGCTGTCTGGCCAGTATTCGTAGGCGTGCTAAGAAGAGGGGACATACGTAGGGTGGTGAAGGGTGAGAAGGGTGTGAGGGGTGACGATGCCGCTACGCTGCGCCGATGTGGAAGAGCCGAGAGGATTTCCCCGCGGCAGATGCACTAGTGGGAGGTCGACAAGACGAACCGTTCGATTGCTGAGCAACCGGCGGCATCGGGCAGTTCCGATGCCAGCCCTCGCGCGGCCCTGAGCTGTAGGCATTTTCCACACGAACCTCTCTCCCCCTCCCCTCCCTTCTTCTTGTCTCTCCGCCACGAGATCTGGGACTGGACGCGCAGGGCCGAGCGAGCGAGCGCCGACGAACCCACCACGAACCCGCCCGGCACAGGACAACCGCGGGAGACGCCAGCAAGCCGACCAAGACGCAGGAGTTTCGGCCAGGATCCGCTGCCAGGTCAGGTGACGACGCGGCTAGCAAGCCAGAACCAGGGAGCCATCATGACGTCCCCGGACACGGACGCGCAGCAGCCCCAGAGCGGCTTTCGGCAGTACCTGCCGGACCTGGACACGCCGCGCTTTCGTACCATCGCCGCGAACGACGTCCAGGGCCACGCGCGCGAGCTGCTGGAGCACCACCGGCCTCCGTGGCTGTACGGCCTGTATGTGCACTGGAGGAAGCTGTTCCAGGAGCCGTTCAAGGGCGTGACGAACGACGGTAGGGGTTTTCTCGCTCTTTCTTTTTTCTCTCTCTCTCGCTCTCTAACGTTCGGTGGGGCGAGCAGGTGTCGTACGGCCAGGCCTCTTCGGCCTGCGCGACGAAGGCGTGCCCATCGGCGCCATCACCCGCGCGGCGCGCGCCGTCGTGTCCCAGCTGAGCCCGGCGCAGGCCGCGCGCACGCTGCTGCACGTGGACTCGCCCGAGTGGCGCTCGTGGTCGAACCCCGAGTTCCTGCTGAGCGACAAGGGCATCCGGCTCGACGCGGTGCCGGGCGCGCTGCGCGACGCGGTGCTCGCGCTGCTCGCAGCGACGCTGTCGCCCGAGGGCTACGAGAAGGCGCTCGCGGCGATGCGCATCAACGGCTTCCTCGGCGAGCTCGTCAACGCGCCGGCCGTCATGAACGAGCACAGCTACAACTTCGTCCTGTTCGGCGAGCCCAGCGAGGAGGCGCCCTGGGGCTGGAGCTTCTACGGCCACCACCTGTGCCTCAGCGTCTTCCTCTACCGCGCCCAGATCGTCGTCAGCCCCTGGTTCACCGGCGCCGAGCCGAACCTGATCGACGCCGGGCCGCACCGCGGCACCCGCATCCTGCACGAGGAGGAGCGCTGGGGCCTGCAGCTGATGCAGAGCCTGACCGACGAGCAGAGGGCCCGCGCGCTCGTGTACCGCGAGATGAAGGACCCGGCGATGCCCCGCGGCCGGTGGAACCACGACGACCAGCGGCACCTCTGCGGCGCGTACCGCGACAACCGGGTGGTGCCGTACGAGGGCGTCGTCGTGGGGTCGCTCGCGGCCGCGCAGCAGGACCTGGTGCGCCGGATCCTGCGGCAGTACCTGCTGTACCTGCCGGAACGGGCGCGGGCGCTGCGGCTGGCCGACTGCGAGGCGCACTTCGGCGAGACGTACTTCTGCTGGATCGGCGGCTGCGGCGACGCCGACCCCTTCTACTACCGCCTGCAGAGCCCCGTGGTCGTGGCCGAGTTCGACCACCACTCCGGCGTCTTCCTCGCTAACGAGCAGCCCGCCAAGTTTCATATCCACACCCTGCTGCGCACCCCCAACGCCGGCGACTACGGCGCCGCCCTGCGCCCGCACATCGCCGCCGGGTCGGTCCCGCAGGACTACGTCTGGGAGGGCTGACGACGCTCTCTCCGCCCGCGACGCGCGTCATATAGACGTGTGTGCCTTAGCGATAGGTAAAGCGTTTACGTCGGATATCACAGCGACCGCCTTCTCGAGAAGAGGAGAAAGTATGGGGGGGGATATAGAGCGAGGACGGGAGGGAAAGAAGGGGGAAAGGAAAAAGGAAAAGGGAGAGGAGGAGGGGAGAGAGGTGGGAGAGGAAGGCTGCCCCGTTATACCTAGGTGCGTGCGTCTACGTTTACATCTCAACATGTAAAAACCTCTCCCGGATTCCGCGGTGTAAATAGTGTAACAATAGACTGGGCACTGGTATTTCACGTAGCACATGCTGATACCGCGTACTTGTAGTTGATTAATAAGGGCGTGTTCGGGGGAAATCAACGACGACGACGAGCCAGGGGAGAGCAGACAAGGATAAGAACAACCACATCATCGTCATCCCATCAAATAGCACCCGAGGGGACCACGGTACACTACCGTCTGCAACACTTTTACGCAGTGCCTTCACCAGTTGTCGCCGAGCCAATTCTCCGCAGTTGGACGCTATGTAGGTACCTATTATATACAACATCTATGCCGTACATGCTGCGTTTAGCACTACCCATGCACACACGCAGTTCCCAGACCATTCCTGGCCGCCTCGATAAGATACATATCGTTAGCGGTAGAGGGCTCTACTCGGAGGAAGGTTGCCTGCCTAGAGAACCGACGGAGTGGGACACATCCCAAAAACTGTCATTGGGGGATCTGTATTCCCCCTTCCCATGTCGGAAACGCGCAGATACTGCCGCGCGCTCACGCAGCACCGGGCTGAGATCGCAAGGCGAGCTTCGCAGAGGCAAGAGAGAGGTCTCGACGCTCATCCGATACGCCTTGCCGCAGTCTCGCCCCTTTCAGTAGAGGTTCCCATTTTTCACCCCCGTGTATATCCACGTCAGGGTGGCCGTCTCGAGGCTTGGGACCTTGTACGATGTCTTCCCTGACGCTTTAGCTTCGGTAAATTTCCTCAGCCAGCCCTCGAACGTGCCTTTCAGGTCGTGCACTTGGTAGCTGCGCGGTTGCGGATCGTGTGCACACTGTTTCGAATGCCTTGGGAGCGTCTGGGACGGCGGCCTCTGCGTCGCCTTGTCGCCGCCTTCCTCGGGGTCGTACCGCACGAGCCTGCTCTGGTAGGGTCGGCGCAGCCAGTAATTCTCCAAGTTGAAGTTGACGTTGAAGTTGAAGTGATACGGTTCGCACAGGTCGTAGTGGGGCCAGGGTAGGAGCTGCTGGTCTGGACACCGGAGCCGGAGGTTGAAGGCCGAGCGCTGGTACACGACGAGGATGACGGTCTCCAGTTGGCGGAATTTGCTGACGTACTCGAGGAACTTGGCCATGTTACGCCCCGTCTGGACAGAGCGGTGGAACAGCCGCAGGTGCAATCCGGTGTGGAGGCCCCACGACGTGCCGAGGGCTATCTTGGTAACGCTCCGGCGGATGGACTCGATCTGGCTGAGCAGGCGCATCACCTTGAGAAGCCTCTTCACCTGCAGGTACGAATCGAGTAGGATAATGTCTCGACACAGGTCCAGGTGCTTCACCGTGCCGGAAAAGACGATGGGCTTGTAGCGGCGCAGCACGGCTTGCCGAGCGTCGCGGCTCACCCGCGCTATAGACGGCGGGGGCTCGTTCCGGACGTCGGCGAACATGAGGCGAGCCGAAGGCGTATTCTGCGGCTGGGCCGAGCACGGCGAATCGAGTACCTCGAAGACCCTAGGCTCGGGGAGGGCATATTCCCATATCATGTCCCGCAGTTCCAGGGGCAATTTGGAGAATTGCGGGAAACTGTCGGGTTGGGACGCCATCGTGACCGTGTATGCCCGGATGCTGTCGCAAGTGTCTCCGGAGGGTCTTGGTACGTCAACAGTCGACGTCTAGATTCCGATCGGGTGCCCGTCGACCGTCCTTTATAAGTCGATCTCGGATCGCGGGGCGCCACCGATAAGTCGATATTACGAGACAGTAGGTATTGGGCCCCGGGTTAGCAGCAAGTGGCTCCTTAATAAGGAACCAACACGAGATTTTTTAGTGACAGCCTCGAAAGAGGAACCTCAGCCGCCCCAACCTAGCTAATCGACCAGCTGTGACTCCTGACGCCTCCGCTTCGCTGGGCGAGGATCCTTCGGCCAATATAAGTACCGGGCTCGGACGTCCTAAGTAGTATCCCGCGAGTCCCTAATAGGAGGTGGCGGGCGATTTTAGGCCACAGTGGTAAGCTGTTAATTAGTAAATTATCAATGTGAGACGGCAAGACCAAGGGATGAGAGCTACGGCCTCGATCACTACGCCTCTCTTCCCACGCGGACCCCCCTCCTCCCCACTTCTCGCCAGGGTTCCTGCTTAGTGTATAATGCAGAATGCGGATTTACGGCAATATAAGAAGATGATGGAAGATAAGCGAGCTGGGGTGGAAAGAAAAAAAGGGAAGAAGGGAAAAAGGGGGGGGGGGTATCGAAAAGTAGGCAGGGAGGCAAGGAGGCAAGTAGAGGCAGGTAGAGGCAGGTAGAGGTAGGATCACAAGGGAAATCGAGAAGGATTGAACGATGAGAGATGATGTCAGATGTGTCTCTACTTATGTGTGATATCGACTGAACTAATAATGCTACGGCGAAGTAGCGTACGTTCGTACGTGCTTAGACGGAGAAACATGCGTAGGTAGAGAGGATATATGGGAGGGAGAGACACCGGGCCGTATGGAGTCCCGGGCACGTGGAAGTGTCTGAGATGGGGAGGAGGGAGAGAGAGAAGGGGGGGAGGGAGAGATACGAACTAGCTGGCAGAGAGGGAGGAGGATAAGAAGTAGTAGTGGTTTTTGCGAGCCGTCGGTTTCTGGTATAATGCTGGGGATGGGTATGGGGACGGGTATATGGGGGGAGAGAGGGGGGGTCACGAACACACACACACAGACACACACACACACACACACACACGCACGCACACGCACACGCACGCACACGCACACATACACACACAAGAATTCATCGCCATGTCTCTCTAAAGCGGGTACGTAACGGCTCGTGACAAGAGAGAGGCAGGGCGACGACCCGGCAACTCGCAACCCTGGAGGAGGTGTGAGCGGCGGAAACCTTCCAGAAAGAGGCATAAGAGGGGGCTAGGAGGAGAGGAGAGGGACAGGACAAGGGAGCAGACAAGAGAGAGAAGAGAGGAGAGAGGAGATAGAGAGAGACAGGGTCGACATACCAGGTCGGACATGGTATGTGGACAGGCAGGCAAAAGCAGGCAAGGCAGGCAGGCAGATATTCGCTACGTAGCGAGATGGCAGCTGAAAGAGGAAGCTGAAGAAAAGGGAGGGAGGGGAGAAGGGGGGGCGGGATGGCTGGAAATCCTATGAAACGGAATGGAGCCCGGGGCTAATAAGAGAGAGAGAGAGGAACGTGGAGAGAGAGGGAGAGAGGGAGAGAGAAGAGAGAGAGAGAGTCTGGGCGGAACAGAGATAGGTAGAGAGAGATACCTAGAGAGAGAGAGAGAGCGTGCAAGAAGACGAGAACCACAGGCGGCGCGCGCGGTCGAGGGCAGGCGAATTGGCGAGCCGGGAGTCTATAATTGGAACAAGCGAGAGTTGCATGTTGAATGGCCAGGTCATGTCATGCTGCATGAGCATTACTTGCGACGTTTTGAACCATCACCACCTCCGGGGTGTTGCCCCCCCTGCCTGGTCCTGCCCTCGACCTAGCTGGCTACTACCGCCTTCCTTCCTTCGTGCATGTGCAAGTTCGATAGTACGAGTACGTCCAGATAGGTAGATAGCAGGTACCTCTACTCATAGGTAGGCACTGGTGGTACCTACTTGTCAGGTACCTCGGCGGATCAGGCACTTCCTTCCTCCCAGATCGCGGGCATCCCGGCAGAGGTAGGCACGAGAAAGAGGGGAGGGGGGAGAGAAGAGGTGGGGCCATGTATGTACCTGGACAGGTAGCATTGGCGGTTCGCTACCTACCTTAGGTACCTAGACATATATACCCAAGGTACATAGCCCCAAGGTAGGGCAAGTGGGGGGAGGCAAGCATATATGAGTAGAGGAGGTGGGTAGTATGTTGCAGACAAGAGAGTTGACTACCTACGAGGGAGGAAAGAAAGGGGGGGGGGAAGGCGTCCCCGTAGCTGGCTTTGGTAGGCTGGCAATCCCTGCTGCTGGCTGTTACCGCGTGACGTCGCATTACAAGCAAGCCTGGGTCCAAATTCTTGGGTTCTCGATATTATTGACGACGAGACACGCATCTAAACGCACACCCGAGGGCAAGGTCAGGGCGGCGGCCACGGAGAGGACGGAGAGAAGAAAAAAAAAATATGGATTGCGACGCATGCGCCTATTTATTGTCAATATGCACGACGAGTAACACGCACATATACTCGATACCTCTACCTATATAATATACGATATAATATATAATATACACAAGTATACGTGTATAAGTACCTACCTATATATATATCACCTACGCATACACAATACCTATTAAATAAAAACAACCCCCAAAAGAGCACCGCTCGTTCTGCCGAGTTGGCTCTCCCTGCGCTACCGAGACAGACAACCGACGGGGGGGGGGGGCAAATGCGCCTTTGGGCCGGAGGCGGGGTGACCAAGGAGAGGATAAGAACGGGGGACGTTCCCAGTGGCCGAGCGCGCGTTTCTTCCCAGGTCGAGCAGCCCAGTCCGTACCGACCTGTACGTGTATACCTGCCTGCCTTGATAATAAAACGAAAAACAGGTATTGATTGCATAGCATATACATATATATATTGGCGAACGCCCCCCATCGTCCCGCCCCCGGCGCTGGCGTCGGCTGCGCAACCCGGTTGGGTCGGTCGAAGGATCGTTGACGACTTGCAGCGAAAAGGGGAAGCGATGTCTGGAAAGGAGGATGGGAAGAGGCGGCGGCATTACCTACCCTACCTAGTAGTGTTAGTTACCTACTTTCCACCGTCCAAGTGTTCCTTCGGACGCGTGCAATATAGGAAATCCCTGCGTCAGACGTGGACGTTTACTTGCCTTGGCTAGGCAACCTACCTATCTCACATTCGATGTGCGTGACTACCCATGTAGATGGATGGATCGACGAGAGTACGTATAACACAGGCACCTGCTGCCGGAGACGTGGGCGACGAGGAGGATGAAGAGGAGGTAGGGGACGGGGGCCCAACGTGGCAGTATCCCACTAACCCCAGGTGGGTGACTAGGTACGCAGTAGGGCCGCCTCTCGGGGCTTTGGCTGGGCGCCCGCCCTGGCCGTGAGGCGCTCCGAGGCCGTGGCCAACGGAGAGAAGACCGCGGAGAGGATTAACCTAATGCCCCCTTGCCTGCTGCGTCCAAGGCTCATCGTATATACGACATCTGTCTGCGTATTATATTTGTGTATGTCGGCTCATGGGGTAGGTAGGCATTTCCTCCTCCCGCCAACCTGCGCATCCCTCGATCCATCCTCCGTCGGCGCTTCCAGAGTGCCTGCGACAGTATGGATATATATATTGATTGATGGTGACGAGGGAATGCCTGCTTGGGTACTTCTAGCAGGTACTTATGAGTAGATATATTGATAATCTTGTGTGCTGATCCGGGTCAGGGTAGGTTAGGGCTTAACCAACGAGCCGTTCCACCGAGTACCGAGCGCCGAGAGGGCGTTCCTACTAAGCCCTGCCCTATTCTATTAATCGATTTCCCGGTAACGAAGCTGAGTACGGTCAGCTGTCGACGGTCGAGACCTGGGGGCCGGCGGCTGGCCTCAGCGCTAGCGAACCGACGGGGGAAGGAAAAAAAAATTAATCAAAACCAAAAGTCGCGTGGGTCGAGTTTTCTTACCTCTTTTTCCCTTCTTCTTCTCCTCGTGCGGCTGGCATGACAAGAAACATTTCCCGTGTTGCTCGGATCCTTCTCTTCCTTCAGTGGAAATACTCCCCATGGATGTTCACGTAGCGTCAGTCATGCCACAGAACAATTATAATTGCAAGCCGGCGACCTCCCCCTCCGCGTCGGTTCGATACTGGGGTGCCTCTGGTGCTTCTTCGAGCCGCGGAGAGGATGCCGGACATACCGACTATCCCGTCCGCGTCGCCTCCTCTCCCTGACACACACCACCCTCTTCAACTTGGTCCAACCCAGGCTGCTCCTAGCTCGAGCCGATATTTATGGCCTCAGGGAGACTTGCGTGCTTGGGCCATGATGCAACGCTGGTGTTCCCCGGGGATGTAGGTTGGCGCGCTCTGGACGCATCTTCTAAAATTAGCAGCGGAACACCCTCCGGTGGCATGCTCTGCAACTTCGCTGGCTAGCTAGCAACGACGTAGAGGATATGCGGCCCGGCCAAGAATTGCGGTGAGGTTGACCCGTCGCCTCGGTGGCCGGTTACGCCAGCTAGCTATCTATACATACAACCCACCTAACGCATATATATATATATATTTATAGTCACTGCAGCTTAATATAATCCGCAATGTCCCTCCACCCTTCCCCCCTCCCAATCGTCGTGGGACAGAGGAGTCTAGAGAGGTCCGAGAGAGAGACCTGAGAGAAACGCAAGGTACACGGACGTGCGTGCGTATCTAGCAGTAATTGTTCTAGGAGTCCTGTAAGCCCGAGAAGTGCGACGGACCACACCCGCAGGACAAATAGGTGCCCTCTCTTGCCGTCTATACCTATGTGTAGAAACGCGATGCAGAAGGGGGTGCATTCGAAACGTGACGACGCAGCAGTTTGCTCGTCACAATCACACTGCCCGCGGCCACAGCCGCCGTTTGCCACTCGTGCCTTCATCCACGCTTGCCCTTCGGGTATGGGGACGATCATTCGCCCGGCTCGTCCCCGATCTTCTCCAGCTTGCCCATTTCCCGCTTCTCGCCAGACTCGCCAATGAATCGTATGCGGTCCAATCGCACCTTCTCGCCGTCGCCGTCGCCGTCTACGACAAAGATCACGAGCGTCGTAACATTCTGGAACCGGACAAATCGTAGCCCTAGGTTAGCGGTGCCGTTCGCGTTCCAGTCGTCTTCGCCAATCTCGATAGTCTGCGTCGCATCGATGTCCCCTGCCTCGTCGAAACCTAGGTTGTGCGGTCGGTTCGTGAAAAGCTTGATTGTCTTTGGCCTCATCGGTATGTCGTCGTCATCCTCGTCGGTAGGTGGCAGAGAGGTAATCTGGCGAGCTCGGGCGTTAGTTGGGTCTGAAGTGACCGGTCCAGGAGGGCCCAAGGCGGCATACCTGTATCGTATGGAGCTTGATAGCCGAGTTGAAGGGGGTGAAGAGTAGCAATTGCTCGTCCGTGTCGCTCTCTACCCAGTCTTTCTCATCGCCCGAGCTGCCCTTGCCCTTGCTCAGCGCCGAAGGCTTCGCCTTGTTGAAGAGAGTACGGACGGAAAAGTAGCTGTCGTCGACATTCAACAGTTCCAACCCGCGCACGTCGATGCTGTCCGAGACGTCGACGTAACCCCGGGGTAAGTCAGCTCCCCTCCAGGCGATGCCTCCCGAATTACCACCGTCGCCGCCGCCGCCGCTACTGCCTCCTTGGCCGGCGTTCTCGATGTCGCTGACTAGCTTCTCGATGACGGATCGCAGCTGCGCAGGATTGGCTCCTTTAATCTTTTCCTCGACCTTGCCGTCCCGGAAGGTGATGAACGTAGGAAGAGCCGTGACCGCGTATTCGGACGCGACCGGCTTGGCCCCCTCGGCGTCAACGTTGACTTTGACGAATGTAGCAAGGCCGGGGCGCGATAGAGAGTTCGCAAGCTGCTCGTACAGAGGGGCGATCTGCTTGCACGGTCCGCACCAATTTGCGTAAACTACACGTCCGCAGGTTCCGCGATCGGATATGTCAGCCTTAGCTACGATGCCTGTCCTGTCACGGATGCCGTGTCGACATGACGACGGGTGGCGGGGGAGACAAGGGGAAGCGAGGGCACTCACAGTCTGCGACTACGATGCGCGAGCTTTTCAGCAGGTTACTGAACTGATCAGCGGAGTGGATTTCGATCGGCTTTCCCATCTTTCCTGGAGAGCGATGGTGCTCAGGGTGAGAGGCGGCTCTTGTTTGAAGGGGGAGAGCGTTTATGGGCCGCGAAGTCGATGGGAATGAGTTGGCGGGTAAGGTAGGGAGGTAGGTAAAAGTAGGTAGGTAGTCAGTAATGGTGGGGGTCCGAGGAGGAGGAGGAGCTATAGGAAACAGGTGGTCCCTAATTATGCAATAAACCGGATACATGCGGACATCGTCATACACTATGTGGATCCTCAGGCATCCATAATGGAGGCCTGTGATTGGTGGAATTGAAGAAAAACACGCAACAGCTAACTGTTCGTAAAACGCTGTATTTAAGCCCTTTTAGCAGTTTAGTTTTTACACCTTCAATTGATCAACTAGGTTTACCTTTCAACTCGTCTTGCGTGCCTTACCATTAAGGCAGCGAGGCCACGAGAGGAAGCCCAAAACGCACAACTATACCTAGGTACATAGGTACCTTTGGATCCTGAGGCATCAACCTTACCTAATCAAACGGCGGCCTATGGTTGATTAACTTACCAACGGCACCTTAGGAGCCGGGCCAATCTAATATACTAAGATCAAACCTACGCCATAGTCCGAAATAGGCCATAGTCTTACGAAGGTAATTAGTCCACGAAAATAGCGAAACGGTTATAATTACGTAAGCCGCTCTATAAAGCCATACGAAGCCATACGTTACGGTAAGTATACGTATATATATATATAATTACGTATATAAACGCATATTATGCTATATTCAAGCCATAAATACGCATACCTAGGTATAGAGATTATTATTATATAGTACGGTATATACGCGTTTACGTTTATTTATACTTATTCGTTTACGCGAAAGAGTTTTTCATACGCATTCTTAATAATACGCGATTATAATATAAGTAATCCGTACGGGTTTAAAGATTTAATAATCGATAATATACGCGTTTTATTAATCGATAATATACGCGTTTTATTAATCGATAATATACGCGTTTTATTATTATTCTATATATTATAAGGTTTATATACGTATTCGTATATCTCTATACGTATTTTATTATTTCTATATAGGCTTTATTATATCTATTATTTAGTATACGAAGTATCGCTAATATCGTTTAGAAATAGACTTTATAAAACGAATATATAATAATAGTAATTATTATAGAACCTATCGGGCCTACCGAGATTAAAAACGAAGATAACCGTTATAAGATCTAGATCCTAATGCTAGGTAATTACGGAACCGCGCGGTTATAAACGAATCTAATTAAAGTCGAGAAACTTAGAATAAGAAACGACGAAGAAACCTAATAATATCCCGACCTACGCCTCTTCCTACGTTACCGACCTAACCATTACCTCCTATAGTATTATTAACCCGACTACCTACTCCTCTTATTATATCGCCGACCCGATTCTTCCCTCCTCTTATACTAAATATACGAAGTCGCGCGGCGTCGGCCCGTCTAGATATTATTATTTACGAAGACGCTACCTCTACTATATCCTTTATTTTAGTTAAAAATACCCTGAACTAATTATATCTAGGATAGATTCCGTTAAACGGTATTCGTATAGCTAGGTACGATATAAGTTTATTAATAGTTATTTAATATAAATATTATAACGCTTTATATTAAAGAAACGAATAATTAAAAAGCTTAACGGTAAAAGACGTAAAAGTAATTAAATATTATCGATAAAGGGATATTATATTATAGGAATATCCGGAACTACCTTAATTTATACGAAAGTTACTAGACTCGGATACTCCTCGCGCGAAAGATTTCAAGTAATACTTAAGGTAGTATAATTACGTATTTACTTTTACGTTTATCGAATATATAATAACGAATAAAAACGTAGCTAGTTATAGCTTAACGGTATTCTAAATCTAAGGCATACTTTACTATAAAACTAGGCCTTTCGAAGTAAAGGCTAGCGTACCTTTACGATAAGTATAACTATACTTTTACGATACGAACGAAGCCGGACGGAAACGTTTAAATCTAAACCCCGGTTTAGATTTTAGTTTCTTATAATAAATATTATATGAAATTAAATAATTTAACTTATATATCCGTACTTATATAACCGCTCGCGAACGCTTACGTATACTTATTATTAAATTAAAGCGGAACGACTTACCTTTAAACGATATACGGATTAAATTAACGGTAAACTTAGAGTTAATTACGGAACGGAACGGAAATCGACGACGAAAAAACTTACCGACTATAAATAAAGTAGCATTTATCCTTCCTAACGGAAATAAGTCGGATTAACGCGATATCGTATTAATAAAACGACGAAAAGATAGCTTAAAATTATATACGTATAGGAGGATTAACTATAAATATCTTACTTATATTCCGTTAGTATATTTACTTATGTTCTTATACGGAGGTATAGGGTACGATACGAACCTACGCCTTTAGGAGTATAACTATACGAAAGTAAGAAAGACGTTAAGTTTCTGTAATTACTTCCGGTATTATTTATACGGAAGATTACGGAATTTATATATACCGTTTACTTTCGCTCGGTTATTTTAATAATTCGTTATAAACGCTTAAGCTTTTATTAATTAAAAATAGCTTTTATAATATCGGTTTAATTAAGATAAATTACGTACGGATTTATACTTTAGCTTATAAAACGCTATCCGACGAAACGATACGAACGCGATAAAGCTCGGACGGAGGATTATCCTACCGGCGAGCTATAAAGGAAGCGCGCGGTTTATATCCTAATGCTATTAAGATTCGATAGTTATTATACGAAAGCTTAAGAGACTTACTTTCTTTATTACGATAACGGCTAATTTAAAATAGCCGGAAATTACGCGCGAATTACGTCGTAGAAGTAAGGCTAACGATAGGCCCGATATCGTAACGCGCGTATTTTATATTAAGATATAATAGCTTCTACGGGATATTATAAAACTAAATTATTTCGGCCGTTATACTAAGTATATTTAAACGATCGAGTATTAAAAACGTAAGCTTCCGTACTTATATTACCTTTTCTTCTTATACCTTAACGATCGCGACCGGTTTCTATAAATAAGTAACGTAAATAAGGTTATCCGCGCGAAGATTCCCGATTTAAAACTAAATCCTATAGGATCGTTACGAAATATCATTACTAATATAATGATTTACGGCCCTTACGGTAATACGAACCCGAAAATACTATATATAAGAAGTTATATATTAAACCGTATAACTAGGTATTATACTAAGCGGTTTCCGAAAGACTTCGTCGATGTTATTACGATTAACGACGACGGCTACCTAACTTATCGACGGAAATAAAACGAGTAATACGTCGAAAGGAATATCCAAGGAAGAAACGGCCCGGAAAAAGTTAAACTTAATAATCGATAGGTTATCCCGTATAATCCCGTATTAAGTTAGAAGTACGCCGCGTATATTAACGTTAAATTATACGCTTTTATAAAGGCGGTTAAATATATTTATAAGTATATTTATAAAAGTAACGACCGTATTATTATCCGTATTTAAAGGGTAAACGAAAGTATATAAATTAATACGCTTAAAAACGAAATCGATTAATACTTATAGGGTCGGTATATAAGGCCTATAGAAGCGTATTAAAATATCTTTACGTTTCCTATGTAAGCCTAAAGTCCTACTATTATTACCCTTACCGTATACCTTCGTAAAGCGAATATTATAATCTTTCTAGAAAACGGTACTACCGAAGAGCTATAATAAAAGCTAGAACGAACTTATATAACATTAAACGGTTACTTTCGATATAATACGGAGTATATAAACGCGAAAGATATCCTATATTAAAACTTCCCGAGATACTTCGTATAAAACCGAGCGAGCCGGAAATAAATAAAGCGAAAGGTAAACCGATATATAATTAACCGAATATAATTCGCTTACCTAGGCGAAAGCGAACGCTTCTTCTTACGATTATTATTAATAAAGATTTCGGGCTCGATATCTTTCGAGAACCTTCGTATATTTTAAGGCGTATAATATACGACTTATAAAGAAATATATAAAGCTCGCGGGCTTCTTCGAGATAACGAATACTAAGTTAACCTATTTTAAGAAATACGAAATCATTCCTTAAGTAATTAGTTACGAAACCTCTTTATCTTCGTACTAGCTAAAGGCGAGGTTATAAATTCGGCGTTTCTCTAGGAGCGCTTCCGTAAGAATATATACGAGGACTTACGGTACCGTTTACTTCGGGATAATGCCGTACTAGTAAAGGTTAAGAATCCGTATTTAGATTTCGGGCTTTACCTAATCGCTTAGGAACTTATTATACGGAACCGAAAAGAAGCTATACTTAGCCTCCCTCGGTACGAATATAACTAGGATCGTTATTAAAGGAACGGCTTATTACGAAAGGAGCTTAGTTACGATAACGAGGAAGAAAGGCTCGCCGCCGATAAATCGGTTAATTAATTAAATACCGGGTAATAGTTAATATTTAATACGATTCTAGATACTATCGAACGAATATTAACGGAAGCGTAATTTTACTTATAAGGGGTAGTAAGGATAGGAAAGACGTTCCTATATAAGACCTTATGCTATTACTATCGTACGTAAGGGAAAGTTATCCTATATATAGCTTCGTTCGGAATCGCTACGCTATTATTACCCGGCGGACGAATTATATACTCGAGGTTTCGGATTCCGTTAATTATCGAGGAGGACTCGGTATACTTTATACGGTATAAAACGTAATTAATAAACCTCTTATAAGAAACTTCGTTAATTATCTAGGACGAGATTATTATATAGTACCGGTACGCCTTCGAAGCTATTTATCGTATATTATATAACCTTCGTAAGGATACGTATTTATTCGGCGGAATCCCTACGTTATTAAGCGGAAACTTCGCTTAAATCCTCCTTATTATACGACGTAATATTAAAGCGTAAATAATAAACGCGTATCTTTAATCTTCCTTTATCTAGCCGTAGCTAAAACGTTTAAAGCTAACCGAA